CATGCCAGTTTATATTCTTAACTCTTTTTTAATTAGATTTTTTTTAAGGAAGATTATTTGTTTTGTTATTGTATGTAAAATAGATTATTTTTCCTCCCTACTTTATCATGATGAATTACACTTTTATCACACCAGTGTTTATTCCCCTCCAATATTTTTAACAAATTAGTAAACAGTTTTTCTCCTTTGCTTATTTTCATGATGTGATGTTTAGTCCTTAAAAAGCATAGACTTCCACTCCCATTCATTACAAACATTCACCCTCTTTTTTTTGCCAGAATCAATCTGTTTTGCTTACACAACCTTTCCTGTTCTGAACACAGACTGGGGATAGGCATACCTGGTTAAGCAAGAAGTTTCTATACCCTGAAAAGAGGTATTAGCTGACTAGTATTAGGGTATATTTAATGCTTGAGATTGGTGATTCCTGTTCTTATACCCCGTTCTTATACCCTAGTTCTTAACCAGCAAAGTGTATGTGTGAACCATGCCTTCTTCCAGGGCATTCTGTAAGGATCAGCAGCCAGGTTATCTGATTACACCTTCAGCATGGCATACAGGTTCACTTGTCTGTGGGGAAATATTTGCTTCTGGTTTATTTAGGCTTATGTTTCAGAATTTGATTGTTATCGTTTAGAGGGCAGGAGTACCTTGCAATGGGATCTGATTTGCCTTAACCCTTCTCCTAGAATTTGGGCTTGGGTTTGGCAGTGGCTGCAGCTAAGGCACTTTTGGAGGAAAGAAAATCCGATACAAAAATAGGCCTTTTGATTAGGTGCAGGACTCTTGTGCTTGATCCTAAGCCCCCCTGTAAGATTTTTAGCTTGAGGATTGTATTAAGGGCCACAACTTCATTTACAGGGTAAACCTCCTTTGGGCCTGTAGGGTCTTCAGTATGTATGGCTTAGTTGTGATTCCAGGAAGTGCCAGGTAATCTAGATTTTGCATTAGGTAAATAACATTGATGATAGAGGACTTTAAACTCAGACATTTATTTGTAAATTTTATTGGCACCATCCCAAATGGAAACAACAATAAAGTCCTGCTTTGTTCTTGGTTACTATCTGGATCTTTATCTACTAAGATGCCATGAGAATGCCAGTAATTGTGGTATTTTCATCCTGGTACTATTAGATGCTCTCTTGTTACAAAGTGCAATGGTTTAACGTAAAAGTAGAGATGTTTTTTAAAGACTCAGAGTTTGGTTAATGCAGAGTTGGAGACTACAGTTCCGCTTGTTCTCATAATGTAACCAACATAGAGCTACTGTATACCAAAACTGTATTAAATATGTTAAATAAGCTTTAATATTAACAATAATGAGCAACTGCTACAAGTGTCGCATCTTTTTGGTAGAAAAAGAAAACCAAATAAGAAATTTCTGAACTACTTCTATGCATGGAAATAATTGAAATATGTATTTATTGCTGTTGTTAAATATTACTAGATTTGGAAAGCAACAGTATCTCTGCTAACCAAGATTGATTTTGATTTTAATATAATCATATAGGTTTAGCTTCATGTTTTATGTTTAACTTGAATGTTCCATCTGAGTCTGTGTAAATAGCTTAATGAAAATGCGAATGCAGCTTAGAGGAACTGATTCCTGCTGTGTGCGGCAACCCATAAAAGGGCAAAAAAATTCTATAGCAACTGTTGTTAAAAGGACAGATATCTTGTATGGGCATAGATTGTTTGGTCTGAGTATTAGCTGTCTACTTTTCAATATAGAATCCCTACTGGGTTTTGATCGAACTTGCTTTGAAAGTACATTGTAGATCAATACTAAAGTGGCTAATGGACTGTGTGCTAGTTAAATATCAGTGAAACATTCCTCCAAAACTCAAAGTTTCTGAATTTATTCAGTAGTATTTGTAAAAATAAATCTGTTAGAAATGTGTAGTTCATATCAGAAAACTGATATAAATATTTTTATTCATAGTTAGTAATTCATTCTACTTTTTATAATAAAGCATTTCAGAATCCTTTTAGAATTACAGTACTTCAGGGTTATTCCTTATGCAATCTTATGTTAATCAAAATGTTTTACCCAATAAAATACAAGACATAAGGGCTTGAATAACTGTGGTGTGAGTTAAATTGCTAGATGGAGTTTCAGAAGTACAAGGGATGCCCTGAAAAAAATTGCACTGATTTGAAAAATTCTGCTGATTCTAAAGGAATTCTTATTCTGTATTTTTGATCTGAGTAGAATCTTTCAAACTGGTGAAACTTTTAAAGCAAGCTTGCTTTAAGCAGGTGAGAATAACAATACATAAATGTATTCTTAAAGGCTTTTGTTTTTCAATGTAAACTGTTTATGGATCTAAATAAAATTACATTTAACATGCAGTTATTCTGTTTGTGAATCTGAGTTGCACTGCAAAGGGAGTGCAGATAGACCAGTGCTTACTGGAAATATTATGTCCCCATGGATGCTAGAAAAAGCCTGCTGGGGAACAACCCTCTTTATGCTTCAAAAATATGTATGAAGCACCCTCCCCAACAAGGTCATCACATCACAAAGGTATGACGGTGCCATAGAGCTAACATCTCTTAGGCTGCTAATGCTTTTGATATTACTAGCCACTCCTCCACCGATGCTTTACACTTCCTCTTATACTGGGACCTAGCCTCTCCTATATGGATGCACTGGAAGGAAAAAATTCATTTGTGCTCACTTCCTCTCTTCAGTACTCTTACACATTGGGGGCATAGTTTAGTCCTTACATTTTCAAAACAAAATATTTGAAAATAATTTTCTTAGTTATTTACCTGTTGTGTCCTGAGTTTGAGGTTCTATGGTACTTCCCTGGCATATGTTGGTAGCATCAGAGGGGATAGCTGTTCTTTACATGCAGCTTTAGATGCTTTTTTTATTTATAAAATATGCCTCTTTGAAATTTCTAGGTGCATGTACGTATTAAAGAGTAATCATTACAAGCTGACTCAATGTCTGTAAAAGAATCAACAACTTTCCACTCCCAAAAGTGTGCCACAGGTCACTTCCTCAGGTAAAGACCTATGTAAAGAGGTGGACCTTGCAGTGTACTTGTGATGTATTGAACAAATGGGGGAAATAAGTTCCAGATGGGAGATGCTCTCTCAAAGACATCATGCTTCCAGTTTGCAGCCATTTAAATCTGAGGATTCAGTTTAAGCATTTCTGCTATCTCAGCTGTTGTGATCTTTTGTGACAAATCTGCTGAACAAAGAAAGGTTCTGTGGAATTGGGGGGCTGGTTGGTGATGAGTTGGTCAGAGAGGCAGATGATCTGGGGCACATGGGGGGGATGGTGACATTTTGAAGATATTTGGTAGATTGCTTATTCAGATCCAATATGTACTACAGCCTAGCAGCTAAGGCAACTTAAATTGTTTGCCCGGAGACATGATATAGCTGGTGAGCTACCAAGTACTGCACTGAAAAGGGATCGTGCACCACAGCTTTCCGTCCACCCCCTGAAGAAGGGAGGATTGTACTATAAAAATGAAGCATGTACTTTAGTGCTGGGCTGAATAGGGATGAACTTAACCATGTTCTTATGTGCTTTGATGAACTGGAGCCTAAGGCATCCAAGATCTAGTCTTTGAAAAATCAATATGGAAGGGAGCGCTTGAAAATATCAAAACAGGGTTTTAAAATGACATGTCAGTGGCTTTAATGTAACAGCTCTTTAGATAATACTCTTACCATTTACAAATAAATATAACATAAAGATCATTTGAAGATGATTTAGGGATACTTTTGGACAAACTCAGTAATGTGCTGACAGATCACATGAGGGAAACTCATTCTCTCAATTCTTAAGCATTGAACTACATTACACAAATTCTCCTAAATTCTAGTTTACAAAGCAGCACCTAAGGTTGCCAGAGTTAGTAGGAGCAGGAGGAGGCAGTGATCATTGGCATAAATATGTTTGTCTTCAAAGTGGCCTGCAGTTTGTGTCTGAAAGGCTCCTCTGTTTCATTATTGTAAGGATCCACATAAGGAATGTCTTTGATCCTTTTTCTTCCCAATGCCAGAGGTATCTTTTACCCTATTCTGGGCTTTTACTATGTGTAAAAGTCTGTGGTAGTAAAATGTTCTATTAGCTGAGTCAGGTGTGTATTCTAATATTTTATGCAGGACCTCAAATTGTCTGCCTTACCTACATCTGGGAAAAACCCCTCCAACCTGGCGTATTTTTTTTATTTTTATTATTTTTTATTTTTAACCATGAAGGCATATGCTCTTGACGGGTAGGTCCTTTGCCTGCATGACAATACTCCCTGCAGTATATCTCTCTGAATCATTATCATGGAAATAATATGCAGACTATACATTGATGTATTAAAATATTTAAAACCTTCTCTATGCTAGTGGAGTTTATGGAAATTAAACAGTTACCAGAATAATATAATTTAGGGGAGTCTTCCTCCTGTAATTTGATATGGTCACTATACAGTAGAGATAGATACTCTTTTATGCAATTAAGGGATAACACAGGAGTTACAATATAATTTTACTGTTTCCAGTTACTTTGATTAGCATCTATTAGCTTGCAGTAAATACTGTATATATTTACCTTGTCTCATCACTGTGTGTTTTTGACATGTCTACTTAGTATTCTTCATATTATTCTTACCTTCTTTTCCAAAGGCCACACAATTTACTGCATTAACAATTCATCTGACCTCTTTTAAACCTTTTGTATGACTATGTAATGACTCCCAGAAAAGACAGGAGGAGTCTTTAATTTGACAGTGAAATTGGTGAAAGAAAATAGTTATGTTTTATAATTATTGCCTGCTTAATCAAATTAGCTGCACACACATTAATGTTATATTTAGCACAACAAATAGACAAATAATCTGATGATAATCATAACACGTTGGTGTCCAGTCAGAATTTCTGCTTGCTTTTGCCATTGGTTTAAGTGCAGTTAAATCAGAGTAATTTTGTACAGTAGTTAAGATTCATAACTCAACCTTCTAACGCGCTCTGTTTAAATTTAGGGAGAGCCTATCACTTTCTGTGAGGACAGTTTTGTGAAGCATCGTTCCAGTACTACCAAACAGTTCCTGGAAACTGCAGTGAATCTTCAACTTTTTAAACAGGTATGACAGGCCAATTGACCTCGTGATCTAACAGTTTCCTTCTAACAGATATCAGATATATATGGTCTCCTCTCTGCCTCTGTATCAACGCCTGCCAGCTTTTGAAAGCTCTCAAGAAGACCATTTTGAGAGGAAATATAGGAGAGAGAGGGAATGGCAAATGTTTAACTCCAATGAGTGTGGAAAAAATCTTCCCAATCTCATTGTATCTTAACACAGGCACAAAGACAATCCCCACTTTTACCCCAAAATGACTGGCTGTTTTTGCCTCTGGAGCCAATCAAGAACTCTCTTGACAAGGAAAAAGCAAGGAGCTCCCTGCTTTAGAAGCTGAACTTTTCAGCTTCTTCAGTATAGTCAGGCTCTATTGGTCAACGGACAGAGGACCAAAGCACTTAACACTTTGTTCGTCAGAGACTGAGTCTGATTTAAGTACTGGATCCAAACTGTACTTGCTTCTTTGATTGGTAGAATCCACTAACCATGTGTACACAGAATTTTTCAAAATCAAGACCTCAGCCAAACAAATAAATTAATAGTTTCATGAAAATTCCTCCATATTGAGGTTGGTTGAGCACAAAACAACAGTTCCTATGGAGGATTTACAGCTCAGTAATAACTATTGTAGTATTCACACAACATGGCTTCAACAAGATCCATTATACATTTTTTTCGTGCTATTATCTCCTGGCTTTTCTTTTTGTCCTCCCTTCGATTCCCTTATGTAATTTAGTTGTTTGAAAGCGGGTCAAGAGACTGACCATAAACTTGTAGACCAGTAAGCTTATCTTTGTTTGTGGGCAAATCTGAGAAAACATCTTAAGGGATAAGGTGGGAAAACTTCTAGAAAAAACATGGTTTGATTAAAGCTAGCCTGAATGAATTCAGGCAGGGGAGTGAATGCTTAACTAATCTGCTAGAGTTCTTTGAAGATATACTACCATAATAGATAAGGAAAATTCATTAGATGTAGAATACTTTGATTTTCAAAAAGCATTTGACAAGTTTCTGTATCAAAGATTAATGGCTAAGGTAGAGATTTATGGAATACAAGGTTGTTAGCTTGTAGTAGTCATAGGTAGACACTTTTCTAATTGGACAAAATTATGGAAATACCTACAAATAAATAACATAAATACAGACTTTAAAAATAATAGATGGAGTACTCCAGGGATCAACTCTTAGAATCCAATTTATTTTATTTTACTGTATTATATGTGCAGGGGCAAAGGTTTCATTTATATGAAGTATTAAAAGAGGTATTTAAAACATTTATAAGTGTTCAGCAGATTAAGATTGGTGGCAGAGAAAGGAATATAACATGGAAACATCGTTATTTTTATTGCTGTTTGTTACATGTTTCTGAATATCTTCATGTTACATCCAATGTTACATGTTTCTGAATATCTTCAGCTATCAGGGATATTTTTCAATAGAAGGCTACTGCACATGCTGAAGAGTCTGAATTATGATATGAGTATTGTGGCCAGATCCTCAGATGGAGTAAATTAGAGTAGTTCCACTGAAGTTATTAGAGCTATGTCCGTTTACATGTAGCTGTTCAATTGTAATTTATATTTATTTTAAAAATCACTTAACAATTTTATTATTTTTCTAATGTTTCTTCATACCGAGGGAGATAATATACCTTTGAAGATGAGAATATATTAAAATTATTATATTTTAAACATTTTTATTAGCTAATATGTTGCCTTTCCTTTAGTTATGATCTGCTGTGTTTCCTCCCACTTCTCTAATTAATCCACAGCCCAGCTGCCTCATCTCCAGCAGTTCCGCACTGACAACTGGGCTGCTTTCAAGGTTGTTCGTGTTTTCAAAGGCTAACATGAGTTTACTGGGTTCCTGATACTGAGCATTCTTTTTAGCAGAAAATAATTCTTGAAAGCAGCCTAGACACCTAGGCTGGACTGCCTGGAGGTGTTTTAACCGCAGTTTTTTTCCTGCATATATGCTTTGTCTGCCACTTTCAGAAGTGCTGCCCTGGCATTTATTCTTTTTTCGTTTTTGCAACTGAGGACCATTCTTACCACCAAACTCGGTAACACTTCGCAATGGATGCAGTACTTTCAATGGTGGGTTTGCACAAGGGAATAGCTAAATCAAGAACCATTACATGACTATACTAGCTTCTGATAGCTGACCTAAATTATGTGTAGCTCCTTGTTATCCAGAACAAACACTTGTCTTCATTGTCTGTTGTTTACTTTATTATGTATTTGACCAAACTTATTCTATATCCCACATGCTATTTGAATAATAATATGAATTATTAAGCTTTGTAATAGAAATTTAATATCAAAGATGGCCTGGCCACTGTTGAGAGCAGTGGTTGTGAAGTGTGTTTTTCAAGATCTCTGAGGTTGGTCAGGGAAGAAGCTATAGACCAGGGGTCGGCAGCCTTTCAGAAGTGCTGTGCCGAGTCTTCATTTGTTCACTCTAATTTAAGGTTTCATGTGCCAGTGATACATTTTAACATTTTCAGAAGGTCTCTTTCTATAAGTCTATAATATATAACTAAACTATTGTTGTATGTAAAGTAAATAAGGTTTTTAAAATGTTTAAGAAGCTTAATTTAAAATTAAATTAAAATGCAGAGCCCCCCGGACCGGTGGCCAGGACCCCGGCAGTGAAAGTGCCACTGAAAATCAGCTTGTGTGCCGCCTTTGGCACGTGTGCCATAGGTTGCCTACCCCTGCTATAGACTGTAATGTTGCACCTAACGCCTCTGCTATCTTTTGTTGTAATTAGTTTATTTCTTTTGTTTAGCACATAAGTGTCTCAGATACTGCAGTTACTTCATATCAAAAGTGTATCTGAATATTATGTTACTGCAGTGGATAACTTCGCAAATGCTGACATTTAACTAGTAGTCTGTAAACAAATTCAAGACATACCTATATTTGTTTTGTGGAAAAAAGGAAGAAGGGGGGGAGTAAAAAAAGAAGTCATTGGAATTAAGTAAACCAAAAAGGGCAAGCATTCTGTGTTTAGATGCCTTTTTTCTTTTCCTAAAGCTTCTTAGATTATTAATGTATTGACTGCGTTGACTCTAAGAAGTGACGTGTACAAATTTAACATTCTTACTCGGCAGATCTGCTCCTTGTGTATGTTCAGTGTCAGATCTTTTCACTTTAGTGACAAAAACATTTTTTTAACTAGTTTTTCCTCCTGTTGGCCTTGCATCTTTTGGAGAGGCAGTTGGATCATTTCATCATCAGAGATGTTAACTATACTCCAATTGCAGGGCAAACTTTTACTCACAGACACATTTGCACTACTCTATTGAAGTCAATGGTGTAGCATTGGTGTAATGGAGGGCAGGCTTTGACTGACATATTCTTTGTTACTGATGATGATGCATTAGCCACAGAGAACACAGATTTCAAATCCCAGGATAAAATTTCATAGGTGGAAATTAGACTGTCTGCTTAAAAACTAATATTTTCAAGACAAAAATGCATTAAGCTTGATTAGGGTACACATTACAGGAGTCTTGTAGTGATCCTCAAATCAAGCATAAATAAGTCCTGGAAATTCAGAGTTCAGGTTAAATTTAAAAGAAATCTAACCACCTTCACTATGCCCTGAAGTGACACTATGCAGTAAGAATACAATTATGATTTATGCATATCAGGGTTTTTGGTCCCAGATTAGATTACATGTATTTTTGAAGACACACTAGAATAGCTTTTTCATGGTGTCAGCAGGGGACTGCTGCCTTCGTAACAGGAATCATTAAAGTCTTCTCAGTTATAGAATTGTTCGTGTGGAATCTGGCCCTCCCCCTGCTGTACTTCCCCATGGACATGGCAATATTTTAACTAAAAGCATTTTTATATGGAACAGGGTTCATAGCCCTGAGGGCATTTGGTGCCCTTTTTTATAACCCATTTGCAGACTAGATTTTTAGAGTTTCCCTCAGCCCTGATCAAGACTTTTTGTGTTTAAACCCAAGACAGCTTTATTCTTTAGTTCTAAGAGGAGATTTAATTTCAGTAGATAAAGCTTTGTGCCTGAGAAGAGGTCCATATTTTAAATAAATAAGTCAGATCTGCCAATTTTTTCTTCAGCTTGTATTTCCTTAGATTTGATGGCTGTGTTACTCCTTTTGCTACCACTGCTTTTCTTCAGCCTTTCGGGATGGCTTATTAATATATGGTATCTATACCCTGGCTTTTTTTCCAGTCCTGAGAAGTCTCTCCTTTTATTAGGATGACATAATATTGCTGTTGTTAAACCTCATGCTAGAAGTCTGAAGTTTAGCTACTGCTTGTTCCCAGCTTCAAACACCAGCTATAAGTAGTTGTATTTTGGACCTTAAATATTTTTGATGGGTGTCCAGTGAAAATAATAACTCAGTCATAAGGAATATCTGGACCAGCATGGAGATTTTCTGAGGTACATACTGTTAACTATAAATCCCCATTGTATAACGTATTGGCATTTTTGCTCACTGCACTCTGCATTGCTCCAGTTTTTCCCACTGCTTATATCTTTTTCATTCTTTCTACAAACATCCAGCTGGTTCGGCAAGTTGCCTGAATTGTGAGACCTTTGCCTGAGCACTCAGATGCATTTTTTTTAGTGTGTTGGTGTTTATTGTTTTGGGGCTCCAATGTACATTTTCCTTTCTCGTTGCATCAGCAACCACTTAGTGTTTCCAGCATACTTTTTCTTTTTATGTACCCCATCTTCAAAGGAGGAAAGAGCCCTGTTCTGCAGCTTCAAGCCATGCAGCAGAACTATGTTCATTATAGACAATCATGCTCTTTGCACTGTGCCTAGAAGTCAACCCCAGTGCACAAATGTTAGACTTGCATTCAGATATCACCCTATGTGATAAGGAAACATGGGGAGCACCTCTCAAGCCTCTTGGAACATCCCAGGAAAACACCTGTAAGTCTAGCACAGAATAACCTGGCTAGAGCATTCAAAGGGTAAACCCTTGAAAGAAAGCTTGAGTCAGCCAAGACCAGTGAGCATCAGGAACTCAGTGCTAGCAGCCTCCCTAACGGCTCCAGCAAAGGCAGTGTGAATGCTTTATGAAGTTCTGTTGGTGCTCTAGGCCACCACTTCACTGACATAATTCTAGCTGCTTGAGTCAGAGCAGGCAGAAGTTCAGGGTGATAAGGACTGCTATCTGGACTCAGATACATATCCACTATGAAGGGGCACCAAGACAGCAACTTCATGAGAAATGAAACTGTTTCCTCCAGATTTTGCAGAAGCTGTTACAACCTTGCCTATTTTTTCTTGTGTGTCACTCCTCAAGCTTCCTCCTCCTCAAAAGTGAGAATACTCACAGATTATATCTACAGAGAAGTGGAAATTACGTACCTGTAATTCTGCTTCCCTGAAGATACAGTTTACGCCAGGATTTTCATTCATTCGCCCACGTCACTTCACAGGGTGGAAATTATTTTCTTTAAGGGATTTCTTTCTTGTACTTGATTGGTTTTTTTCCCTCTGAAGCATATTGTGTTACCTAATTTTGAATTAATTTATCATGGAAGCTTTGTCTTCTGCACAACCAAATGAATTGGCTGGCATCACCTGTTCGCTACAGGCAGTGGCACACACAGGCAGTGGCCAAGAGAATTGGCTCATATTGTATCCTCAAAGGGCGAAATTCTTTAAGAACTCTGGAAGTCCTGCTATTGTTTTACTAAGGAGCTAAGACCCAAAGGAAGAATCCTATCAGAATTATGTCTTCAGAGAAGCAAAATTGCAGAGAAGTATTTTTACTTCTGTGTTAATTATGCAGTGCCACTGAGTGGTTTGTCAATAGTGGGTATCAAACTCTGGTTCTGTGGATCTAAAAGCATGAGCTTCTACCACCTTAACTAAAATACCCTGATCTAATAGCTCAAAGACAATACAGACTCAGAAGCCTTTCTGAGGTCCAGCCTACGGAAGGGGACAGAGAGCCATGCTTTGTATACTTGGGCTTTACTAACGTTATCCAAGCTTTCTGCTATGTACTACTTAAAAAAAAAAAACTGGAATGGCTTTACTCTCACTTCTGATACTCAATATAATTAATAATACTATCACTTCCTTCAAATAAGTTTCTATCGTTTCTGCTAACAGTTATATTTGGCAGTATTTACTTTTAAATGTTTTGCCAGACTAATCCTTGCACTGAAAACTAAAAGTCAGCCTCTCCATTTTCTGTTGATACTTTACCAAATGATGAGCGTGCCCATAAATCATGCGTTGGTTTATGGCATGGAGTGAATTCATAACTTTCCCCAAAGAGATAATGTCTTGCAGTTCAACGACTGTTTTCTGCACAGCAGTAGCTAAAGATGCTCTTATTGCTCTTATCTCTTTTTCTTACTGTGAAATAATCCAGTGATCCCATAGTGGTCTGACCATGAACCAAACCCATTTGGAAAGAAGCCTACTTGGAGTCAGAATGAAAAAATAAAAAGGAGTCTAGCCAAGAAAGAACAGGGAATGATTATCTTCAATAGCATGTGCTCTATTATTATTGCTGCTGGAATTTTTCGTACTTGAAGAATGGAGTTTGTTTCATGTCATCAGTCTATCCATTGACAAGCATCAGATTGCCACTGACAGTACTGTTTGGATAATCTGTGATAATGTATGACACTCAGCCAAATAATTAATTTCTGTTAGCTTCTATGTGCTATTTTAGTGAAAGTGAATAACTAGTAACTCCTGCTAGAAAACGAATAATCAGTAAAATGTTTTCTCAATTAATCTCTGCTCAGACTTGAGCTAGCCTATTCATACTAAAATGCATAGATTAGTTCTTGAAAGCATTCTAGAAATGCCAACGTTTCTGTCTTAATCCTGAAAAGCAAACTGAGTCTTTAAAAGAATGTGTTCATTTCTTCTGGGAGGTTATAGTAGATGATTGTTTATTTTATGTTCACCGTTCTTTGTTTCTGACATATTTGGGCCTAATTTTTAGCCTTTGCATGCACATATATGCAAACACAAATGCATGCACTGGCATATGCACCTAAATATGGACATGTGTTAGAATGGACATCTGCAAATCCCATTAAGTGAAAGTTGTTTTGTGGGTGAAAATTCTGACACTTCCATGGATTCATGCACACACACACACAAATGTGCAGGTGTTAGATTTTTCAAAGAAGCAGGCATGTATGTGTTTGCACCTGAAAAGTGTGTCTGTATGGATCAGTATGAGCACACAGGCAGGTGTAGACTGGCAGAGGTCAAGCTTAAAATATGGTTCTGTGTTACACAGTACTGTACTTCTATTTTGGCACTCAGTGAATTGAGTTCTCCTACATTTAAATGAAATATCCTTCTAAGCTTATTGTTCCTGTTGCCACTGTTCTTTAAAGGCTGCAGCTAACAGCTTCTCTCCGTCCATATAAAATGATTGTGATCCAAACTCTTCTCAGTTTGCATAACTCCTCAGCCAGCAGAGTTTCAGTCCTCAGCCAGAATTCTCAAGTGCACAGTCAGTGGGCATCAGATATCCCAGCTCAGCCTTGCTTTGCACTAGAGATGGTCAAAATTTGTCCAAATTTCAACTACAAATCTTCTGCATTTTACAACTAGCTTTTCCTTCGGATTCAGTGATACTTATCTGGAAAGGCAGATGAGGCCAGCTCATGACTCTTCAAACACAACATGAGTGAACATCTCAATTTCCATAAGTGATTATAATTTTAAACCTGAAATTAAACATTTATTATGAAATAAATTTAATAAACTTTCACATCATCTGCTGTGAAAAAGAATGAGCTAGAAAGCAACTTAAAATACTTTCAAAGCAACAAGTGATTTGGAATTTCATTCTGGGAATGACCTTGTTAGTTTAAAATATTTCAAGTTTTATATTTGTTCACACACACAACAAACAACACTAGTAGAGAATACTAAAACCACTGGTGCAATGGTGATAATATTTCTGCCACTTGTCTCTATATCCACTGTTACAATATCTATCCAAAATTATTACAGCATTCTTGTGATCTGTTATATTCTTAACATAGATATTTTACATGAAACCTAAGAAAAGGTCAACATAGTTTTGACTAATGTTTTTTATATTCCAGTTTATTGATGGTCGACTAGCAAAGCTAAATGCAGGAAGAGGGTTCTCGGATGCTTTTGAAGAAGAGATCACTTCTGGAGGCTTCTGTAGAGGTACAGAATTATTTCAGGAGCATTTGTTTCAATATATCATTGTCTCTTCCACAGGAACAGTTGAGGATGATATCATATTGACTTGAACATAGTCAGATAAGCACTTATCTGGTTTAAATGCCTCTGATTCATTCTTAGCAGAGTTTCAGTCCATTATATATCAGTAGCAGAAAAACTGATTAGCTATTTAGCCAAACATTTCCAGTGCATTAAATGAAAATAAATGGAATTGTTTTACTTTAATAAATTAGTTTTTATAAAATCAAGATCAGAATAGATTTTATTAGATGTTTTTAAAGTATTGGCTTGCTTAATAACTGATTAGATATTTACTGGTTAAAGTATATTTTTTTTAATAATTACAAGACTTTAGTTCCCTAGTTCCTTTCCTTTTTAATAATGGTTAATTTAGTTATTTTCTAATGTCTCTTTTAAACATTCCTTCATGTACCTCATGTAGTTTTGCAATATACTTAAGCCAAATTTCTCCAAAATATGAGTAATTACTATCTCAAGCAAAATGCACTATGCTTAAATAAATAATCTTAATGTGCAGTTCTACTCTAAAAAGTGACAGTGTAAAAGTATATCTTCTTCCTAAGCATACCTACTATTTCCTGCTTGTATCCAGTCATATCCACTGACTTCAGTGACTGAAATAAATTTTACTACTTTTAACTCCTGCTAGCCTTGCCAAGCCAGCACATCTAAGAAAGCATAAGGTGGATCCAATTCCATGTTCTGCATTTCCAACAGGATTGTCTAATCATTTCCAGTTACATGGCAAGTCAGTTATACCTTTTTAGTTATAAACCAGCTATATTTCCTACAATAAATGTGAGCCCCCACAATGCCATTTTTACAGTCAATTTTCATAGCAGAACCTCAGTTTTCTGTATAAATGTGAACTGCGTGAGTTGAATCAAATCGCGTCTCTTAGGGCAGCTTTGTGACAGTCTTATGCTACAAAGCTACCCTCGAGCTAGCAGATCTGGCCAATGGAGGATTTTTCCTGCAGAGCCACCATAAGAGATTCTGGGCTATGTCCTCTGAACTCTCGACATAGAAGCCTACTTGTCTAGAGTCTGACTATAAAGTGACTTTGCTCCTTTCTTTCTCCCATCTTCCTAGACTTCTGCTAAGATCTGGCCTGCCGTCTGTTTTTCCCTGAAGAGGTTAGGAGAGAATGTCAGTAACACCAAGATTTAGTCTGTCCCCTCCTTTTAAGGCAACTTACTCATACAACTTTATGAATAGTTTTTATGCAGTGGACATGTCCATTCAGATAGGTAATGTCAGTGCTTAAAGTTTCTTTGCTCTTTGCAGTTAAGAGGTCAAAAGGGTGCAGTGAAATAACATTAGAACTTGGATAAAGTTAGGTTCTTGGCTCTACATTGATATGTTTTGTCAACCACATGTCTTATCTGGCTATGCTCATGAGGGAATGTTCACCTTCACTAGCAGTTTTGTGTTAGAATTTATTGTATCCTTAATTTTCAAGTCAGACAAGCTGTACCACGTTGTGAACAAATTGCTTAGGGCACATATTCAATATTTACATAACTGCTGTCTCATTATCATTATGAGGTGCAGGCAGAGCAACAAGTATGGAATTGAGGGTGACATTTTGTGACACTAATGGGGTAGAACTGTGGTATTTTTCATAGTTAAATCCCATCAACTTTGCCATTGGTTCAAGACTACACAACTGGGTTGATACCAGCTTTCAGAAAGGTCACTAAAAGTCAAAGTAACCTATGCATTGTTGAAGGGGCAGGTGAAGACATCATGAAGAACAGTGATAAGATTTTCATGCTATTGAGTCAAAAGAAAGGACTTTCTTTCAGCCTCTCCATTTTCGTTAATACTTTATTGCATTTTCCAACAAATACAAACATAGCTAAACTATGTAGAAATTTTAACTGCAAATTTGAAGCAATGCTTGCATTTAATCAGTTATATATCTATAAATAATTTTTTCTTTAAATATAATGATTAAAAAATACACTTTTTCAGTCTGAAGGATGAAAAAAAAATTGTGTACCATATCAAAATGGCATTCTGTATCATGCAACATTCTCATTAAAACTTTTTCACAAGTTTCCACCTTCCCTCACATGCATTCTCCTATAGAGGTAAATATAAGAATCATCAGTGTGAATATAACTTTCAGTGCACTGCTAGGATTATTGATGGTGCACCCTGTGGCCTTTTTCTTCTACTCTGTGTTAGCTCTGCTGGAGGGGCAGAGTTGTTGAGTCCTTATTGTACCTTCTAGGTGTGCCACATGAAAAACCAATTCTGTTAGGTAGTGGAGAGTTTGATCCCCACCTGCTGCAAAACTTTTTTCAATCAATTGTTTTGCAAGGTAAATGTAAAGTGGAGACAGGGAATGGGGAAGGGTATGCCATTGCAGTCAAAGACCTGGGAATAATGTTGAGAATCAGGTGTTCAACACCGTACCTCCCAGAAGCCTACCAATTGGAGGGGTATTAGGATTGCTAATCATCTTTGTTTCCGTTGGGCCATCTGCTTTTTCTTCTTTTTTCTCTCACGCACTTTCACACTATGCTTCACTGCATTCCCTTTCACAATAGGAAAAGCATTTTTTATTGATGGAAAAAATATCTCATGTTTATGCCAAAAACCTATTAAATGAATTTTATCAGTAGAACTTTCTTTAATATGGTCATATTGGAAAATAGCCTAAAACCCAGTGTCAGCCTGTGTTGCATTGCTGCTGTTCAGTTAAAACTTTATGCACAGTTATTTAAACTTGTTGGCCCCTGGTCACAGCTGGCTGCTCAGAAATAAAAACTACAAGTCTTGTAATTCCCAGCAAATTGCCTTCATATATAAATATTAGCAAGAAATTTAACTGGGAATTTTTCCTGCTTCTATAACAGCAAACTGTCTGCACCTATCACCTAATTTTTCTTGGACTGGGGCTTGGTAATAATTTTTACAGATATATTTTACTCATCCAGAGAGGGTTTCTTTCATAACCAGAATGTATTGGCAAATAAGGGAAGAAAATATCAGCAAGCATTCGTATTTTATTAGTACACTAATTTTTTTAGTTGTGGTGACAACCTTGGAGCTACTAGTGGGAAAAGATTCTACTTAATAGTGAAGAAGTCAAGAGACTTTGAACCTCTGTTGGGAATGTGAGTTTTATAATAAGAATTCAACATTTTCCTATTTAAATTTGAGGTAGTTCAGATATTGGGTCCGCATACATGGTGTTTGCCTCATGTTTTCCCTGGTTGAGTATGTATCTGTTCTTCTTCACTCATTGACTAGTAAATGGTAGAACTTTGGAAGGATTTGTGATCTGCAAGTCTCCCCACCAGTGCACTGGTCTAATAAATCTCTTATTAAATTACAAAATCTCATCCACTGTAATCTCTGGTAACAAATGGAATTCAGAGGGGCCCTGATAAACATATTTCAAGTGCGGGCATTTCTTTCTTAAGCAAGAGCCGATGGTAGTCCATTATTTCAATGGGTTTTTGATTAAGCCCGAAATGATTATGTGGTTAAGTTTGCCATGACCATGAGCACTAAATTGTTACATTAGCAAGTTCATTATATTAGTGAATGAGTAGTGGCTACATTCTACTTTATGATGAGGAAATAGTTTTTGTGTGTATACTATGTCTCCTCCAATAACACTAGTGAGCCCAGTCAATCTTAAAAGGACAACTGTTCAGTCTTTGTGAATGTAGCGTATTGGTTAAGGCACTTCTGCTGGGGATAAGGGCACAGTCAATGCTAGTAAGCTCTCTTTTCCAGCTTGGCATCCCTTTCACTCACTGCACCATTTCTGAGAATTTGGGTATTGCAGAATTGCTTGCAAGGAATTTAGTGCAATGGTATGGAACATTTAAATGAAAGCATTTCTATAAGTCCAAACAGCTAAATCCCTTCACTTGTTTCCTTCAGAAATTGCTGTAATACCTTTTACAATTATCCAGTTAGTCCTCAGACACGTTCGATGAGAGCTAGGTTGTTGGTGTTTTGGCTTTCCACCAGCCAATCCAGGTTCTAGTTATTAGATTTATTTCAAAGCTTAAACTTTTGAAATCTCCTGTTAAAAAGCCGATGTTTTGTCAAAGGATATCATTGTGTTCTTTGCAAAGTTGATAAATTATCTCTTTGAGCAACATGATTTTTGTGATCTCAAATATTTTGCTTGGAAGTATTAATTCATGGTAACTATCATTGTACTTCACAATATCAGTAAATTCAAGTGATTAAGCTACTCTTAACATTTCTCAAAGGTAAGGAAGTCAGTCTTGCATGTTCAATTGAAGTGTCTTCGGAAGGCTGTTGTTTCAGTTCTACCTCAACCACCTTATCAAATTTTAGCGTATCTTTTGTGGCCAATTTAATAATATAATAGCACCCAATGATCTTATCTATGTTGATAGTTGTCTTACTCATCCACTTGCCTTCTACACTGTGAAAGAAAGAACATGTAATTTATAGTGGGTTTCCCTACAAGGGAGATGTGATATTAAGGTCCTTGTTCCTGTTGCTAGTCCTTTTCCCTCTGATATTAAGATGGTAGTGTCTGAAGCGCAATTCATTTTCTCACTGCAAGTTTTTCTTTTTGCCCAGAGGAATAGGGGAAGGAACCCAATTCTGGGTAAAAAGGGGGAAATCACCATATCCAATACAAGATATATTCTTAGCACAATATATACACACCCCTCCTTCAGACTTTTATTTTTTTTTCTTTTGTTTTTAGTGAGTCTGAATATTTGATTGCGACTTTAATTTCTTCTTCGAGTGATTGCTCCTGTGTATTCCACAGTAGGTGTGCGTGCTCGCCACGTGCACCGGTGCCAGAAGTTTTTCCCTTAGCAGCATCCGTAGTGGGGGAGCACCGCTGCGACCCCTGGAGTGGCGCCGACATATCGCGCTATAAAGGGGGCTGCATGCTCCCCCCACCCTCAGTTCCTTCTTGCCGCCAGTGAAGGTAGTCGGAACTTGTG